GTTTCTTGTCGAGCACCAACTGTACACATTGACATAGCAAGTGCAATACTTGCTGGTGAAAGAAATACATTTTGATTATTTTTATTTTGACTAATAGTTGAATAAACTTTGTGACCAAAATGTTCGAAGTCCATAGTCATTGATGATGATGATAATGATGAAGCCATGTTTTTTGTATTTATGAGAGAAAAAGAATGAAGGAAACGACGTTATCTCAGTGTTTTTATACTCTATTTTTTGTGTGAATACTTATCTTTGTTGTAGTTGTTTGACTTAGCCTATAGAGGACCACACAGGAAGGTTTGTGTGACTTGTATGAATAATCTAGTGAGTCAGAAACAAAGAACAGGAGAGAACATTTTCAAAACATCAAGAAAACTTTATTTTAATGCAGTGAATAAGATAAGAGAAAAAATCATGATTAGTTGTTGAGTTGTTTTTTTATTTATTGATCAAATTATCTAATGATAAGTTGCATTTTATGAGAATATGACTCACAGTTGTATAAAGAAATAAATTGCTTCTATATGGTGAAATATGTTTTTATCATTGCCTTGTTGAATGCTGATTAATCCTGGATGTGTTAGTATGACAATATTGGATTTCTTATACAAATTCGTCGTTAAGACTAAAACAGCATATGACACTCAAATGTTATATATCTGATTAATGAATAATATCATTTCTTTCAAATAAATCAGAAAACCTATTATTTGTATCAATAAAAATTCATTTAAAGTTCCAGTGTAGATTTATATATATGTAAACGACAAAAAAAAACAGTACATTTATTTATCTATTTATTTTTATCAAGACTCAAGAGTTTTTGTTTTAAGAGTGATGAATTTCTCTATAATTCTTATATTATTTTATGAATATGCTTGTCTTATACTTATCTACTTTGATAATAGCAATCATCGCGTATGATTATTAATTTATAATGATCATTGCTAAAGATGAATATAAACAACTAGGATCTGATTTCTATAGAAAATAATATTATATGCTGAATAATCAAATGACAACTAAAATAGTAGTCACCTCTCTCCCTCCATTAGTTTTTCTCTATATACTTACTAATGTTGTCTGTTGATTATAACCATAAGAAATTGATGCATGAAGGCAGAAGAAAAAATTCTTTGAAAAGTTCGTTTTTTTTTCTTCATCATCTCTTTTTATGGCTTCAATAACGTAATACATTTCTATTTTGAAAGCTCCTTTTACACTCTATGATTTCGTATTTACGAAAATATGTAAATGCACTTGCGTCAGCAAAAGAATATGGAACTAAATGATCATTTGACCATGTTTGTGTTGACGAAGAACTTCTTGTTCCATTTCCGAAATCAGTTATATTTGATCTAAATAAAGATATTTGGTCAGTACATATTAAAGCTTAGATGTATTCAACATTACAAACAAAGTCATTAACAAATTATCTTCCATCATTACCAATTGTCTCTTTCCTTTCCTCTCTCTTTCTCAACCATCTTGCTAACATATGCTAGCAAGACGTTTAAGAAAGAGAGAGGAAAGAAAAGAAATCGCTCTTAGCAACAAATACGATACTTTATGGTCACTTTTTATGCCTGAGCGTGGTCAAGAAGCAATTCGCGCGTAAGACTCATTCTTCAAAAATCTTCATCGGAATTGAAAACATTGTTTTCTTTCAGATATCGACAATTGAAAGAAGTAAAAATTAATTATAGAATAAATATATAGTGAAAGTTTAATTTTAAGCGATTCGTTTCAATATTGCAAACTTTTTTGGATTCATACTATCTTAAAAGTATAAAAATATATCTTACTTATCGTTGGATACTAATCAATTGTTTATAAAAACACATTATATTAGAAGTTACTATCAAATGGACTGTGTTCAATAGGGAAAAGTTCCAGAATAAATGCTATGTGCTATTTATTGTATTATATGAATTTGGAATTAAAAAAATATACATTATGCAGTTAAAGCTAATTTTAAAGAATGACAGATGACACTTTCAAATTTCATCTACTTTATTTTGATATTCTTAATTGTTCGATTCAAAAGATTTTTCAGTATTGTAACTGATATGCTTGTGTTAGCATTTGCAGTGTTCACCGTAGATCTTTATGATAGACGTAACCTACAAATTATTTCATCTAGTTGATAAAGCTTTAAAGTTTAAAAAAAATTAATATATTCTTGAGAAAGTATTCGTTTGAATCGAAACATTGAAAGCTTTTTTTGATACAGAAATTTTTCGTTAATATTCATATCAATAGAATATTAGAGAAATTCTGTAACGATGAAAGTGTAGGAAAAAAGAAATATTTGATAGAAATTGAATATTTTTCGAAATATGCTTAGTGATGACGATCTCTTCTATCTGTAAACAATGCTCGTTTATTGCTACATTCCTATAATCAAGTAAATCATTTAGAAATAAACAAAAAATTATTAAAAAAGAGAGTTTGTTCACTTGTTAGGATTAGGTTTTTCCCATAAACATATACCATTGTTTACTGCCAAGTTTGGATCGTGAGATGTACATGTAGAGTGATAACACAATTCAAGTACTGACTTGGTTAACTTGAAATTTGAGGTATGATCTGTGATAATACTTGTTTTACTATGTGAGTCAATACCACAATATTGCACTTCATAATAGATGTATTTTCTAATACATTCGGCGGTATGACTACCTTAAAAACAATGAAATTCAATTAGAATATGAATATTTTTAAATATATTACTCGTAACACATGCTGTAATATAAATGTTCGATTGATATCGTGAGTTTGACCACATGTCTTCAGCCAAAGGAATATTGTTAATTTTGTACATAACTTTACACAAATCTCGCCCATAATGTAAGTATATTTGCTTTAGGTTTGACAGAACAATTTTAGTACAAGTTCTTGTGTATGATCCTTGAGAGCTATGTGAAGAAAGTGATGTATCCCTAAAAATGTTATTTTTCATTTTTAAAGATTTATCACAAAAATTAGGCAAACCATGAGTGTTTAAAGTATTTGCAATGTGAGTGGTTTTCATTAAAATTTCAATAAGACTTAAAGAAAGTCATTTTAGTCTTAATTTAAAACCAATTATAGAGCCATTCAAAACTTAAGTTTAGCTTGAACTAGATTAATTCAATTTCAATGTCAAATGCTTTTAAAGGCAAAAAACAGCTTTTTTGATACTTTTTCGAAATTTATTAGAACATCTTGAATTCAACCAAATACATTTGATCACAGCATTATTAAGTTCACATTTTCGGTTGGGAGCAAACTAAATGCTCAGTATTTTTTTGTAAACTCTCAATATAATTTATTATTCAGTATTACATACAATTTATCGATGTGGATGTGTGCGGGTTCCCAAACGTGGATTAGGGGTATCCATATACGTTATATATAACTAACAACTGAACAACATACAATAAATGTTTTTAAAATAATTTTATTTTAATATGTTATTCATTGAATAATTTTGCTTTTTAAGTTCTTCTTCTGTGTTTCTAATAGGCCACTCAAGTCAATATATGACCAATGACACAGACCAGCAGTACATAACACATGATAGGACTAAAATTCAACATGAGTCATCAATATTATTAAAATTTCGACTAAAACCTTATTTCAACTTACTTTATTTGATTGAACACTATATACCAATGGTGTTTACGGTGAAACTTACTTAGCACTGGTTTTTTTTCTGTATATGTTTTTGCGTTCAAAATATGTTCGATCATAGGAATGCACCACCGCACACACAACACCTACAGCAATAAGACAACTTACAATACAATTTTACTACGTACTGATAACTGTATTTCCTGCGTCATCAATACGACTGAGAACAAAAACATCGTCATCACTAGAATTCATTAGATTCTTATTTTTCATCAAATTCCAATTATCAACTCGATGTGAATCATCATAAGGAGAAAGTACCGGGTGGCCCAAAAGTAAGGAAAAATAATGGGTATCCCATAATAACTAATGAAAAACTGTTAATGATATTTTTCATTCTTTTTATTGATGTAAAGAGCTGAAATTTTTATTACATATATATCTGATTAACACCTTTTATTTCTGAAAGTTTTAGCTCTCTACATCAATAAAAAGTATGAAAAATATCATTAACAGTTTTTCATCAGTTATTATTAGATATCCACTATTTTTCCTTACTTTTGAGCCATGCGGTATAGCGGTCTGATGAAGATCGTACCCATTCGAGTTCAGACAGATTCTAAGATCTGATTCGCTTGAGTTTTCAGACTAGGAATAATTAAATGGAATGAAATTGAAAAAATGTCTCGCAGCGAGCACCTCGTGTCGTACTTTAATGTGTCGTGCACTGTATCGTAAATCACGACACATGCGACACATTTTAATTTAGTGTATACATATGTCCTTACATTAAGAATTTTGAGTGAATAGAGTGAAATGATATGGATACCCAATTCCATACTCATATAACTCCAGAATTCAGGATATTAAGATTAGGCTATGGAGGTAGGTCTTATCTTAATTCCCCAAACGCTACACCTTGAAACCCACACTCACACTCACACTCACTCGTTCACATGGTTCCAATTTGAAGTTAAAGAAATAAAATGAAATAAAACTTTTTCTATGTAGCAAATTAATTAACAAAATGAGGAAAATAATTAGCGTTTGTGATAGAAAACACTAGTTTATACATATCTATGATAAAAACATCATATTTATGCTAGTGTTTGCTTGTTTCATTTGAGAATCATGGAAACGAGGAAAGAATACGCCGTCTTTTCGCTAGCTTGCAGCATCGGATGCTACCGATTGACATATTCAGTAGCCCGATATCTTCCCTATAACTCTGAACGGAAAGCTGACTTAACGAAGAGCTTTTGCCCTCAATTGCTTGCGCTCCCCATACACACTAACTAACTATAAGAGCAAATGTATGTCATAACATAGTCAGCATGCTCTTGGCAGAGTGATCCCAAGCAAATAGAAATGGGTGACTTTTCCAGAACCATCCTATGACTGTTGACACCACGTTTGAACATAATACCTTGTGATTACGTGTCGAGCGACGGAGCCACTCAGTCATAGCAGTGCGAATAATAGTATGACTAAAGTTTTCACTTTTACATTATCGATATTCAGATGTTGACAGACAATATATACTTGTAGC